ATATTCAGCATCTTATCTTGTATTTATAGCTCCAATAATGCTGGATAGTGCAAAAAACCTCTGGAGATCTGTTTACATTTTTAGCTGTGATCACAGTGGGAACATCCGGCATTGAGAGGGATGAACAAAATATCTGTTTTGTGAAATCCTGTGATAACTAAATCTTTCTTTCTTGCTGTCTTGTCAGAGCTCTATTACCAATATGTGTAGAGAAGGAAGTTTCACATCATCGAACAAACATAGAGTGCTGTGAGTTTTCTGTGTTTGGTGTAAAACCACATTTAAACAGTTCAGATAAGCTGTTTAATCTCCAGAGGAGATGGAGTTGTGTTACTAAACAGTCTCAATCTCTCTCATGATCCCCCTTTCTCTTTACGATTCTGCTGCACATCTCTTACATCAAATGTGCATCTCTGGCATAAGCTGGCAATCAATACCAAATGTCTAATTCGCCCTGCTTTTTGTTTCTTCCCACTTCCTATTTTGTTGCTTGTCAAGGAACTGTATATTTATTCAAGTGCTTCCTGCTTAAATCAAAGAGGCAAAACTGGATTCCTGCAAGCCTCAGTCCATTAAAATGTAAACGAGTGGCTGGACGGTGAAATTACAGCTCTGGTCTTCAGTCTCGCCAGCATCCAAACTAGTCTGTGTCTCCGCTTTATGGAGGACGACACACGCCGCCTATACAGTCCCCATCATTAAGGGCTTAATTGAATGGCAACTTCAGCAATTTTGAATGTAATGAATGTACAAGCCTTCGGTACGGCGTGATGCATAGCAATGAGAAGCCGCCCTGTGTGTGGAAATATAAGAGTGCAGATTACAAACAAACTCATCTGCATTCAAAAAAGTGCTGTGGAATTAACTTGTTTGTTCGGCAAGACGACTTCTAGTTGTTTGTGATTACTGGAGGACTTTGTCATTTTCTACAGATTATACTTACAAAGAGTGGATTTCTAGCTCATCAAGAATTTTAGAGTTGAGCGTGACAAGAAAAAAAATATATTTAGTGCAGAAATTTAATTACTTTTTCATCATTTAAAAAAAAAAAAAGAACCTAGTTTTTCCATGACAGTTTTTGCAGAAATACGACTCTTATAGCAAAATAAATAATTATTTAATACTGCAAAATAAATAATTATTCATTTTGCAGTAAGAACAGAATAACTTGCGTTCAAAATATTTGTCTAAATAAATAAAATTGGATCTTCACCAACACTGGTATTCATAGTACTACGAGTTTTACCCATATGTTACCATATTATATTTTGCTTCGCAGGAAAACAAGGCCAGCCTTCTCCAAGACACTGAAAAGTGACGGTTCCGTAGTATCTAGGACAACGTTTTGATTAATTAGCTACATTGCTGCTGTTGTGGTATTTTGTGAAAGTTTAAAATAGGCCCGTAATTAATCAGCAGGGACTTCAGGACGGATAGAAGAATGACGTGTGAGAGAAAGGCCAACACGGGATCGGCCCGGCGCAGGCGTGGGTATGACAGATGGAGATTACTTCAGTTCGACATCGCCGGGAGCTTCCGCTTGCCATTACAGGAATCATCAGTTAGCTTGTATTGACATTCCATTACAGCGAGCAAACAGTGGAGTTCTGCCCTGTACTGCCTGTGCCAGTCATTACATCTGACTCCATGAGGCCCGCAGAGCTCTTTATACCCCGAGCACTTTGTCACGGTTGGAGTTCAGGACGTACCATTACTCGGTGTGGGTTGTACAATTGTTTTTTATGTTAGAAATGGCGCCCCATGAGGTGTTTACACTAAATCAATTGATGGCTTTATGTTTCCTACCTCTAAAGCCTGTTCACACTCAAAGGCTTTGAAACCTAGTCGTATTATTGGTCGTAATTTTTTTTTTTTACTGCTGGATGCCCTAACGTGATTGGTAAAATAAGCAGGTGGTCATAACACCAATTGAAGATGGTAGATCTTATATAAAATGAATATAATTATACATAATGAAATTATAATATATATATATATATATATATATATATACATTTGTTGAACCACCTCTTGCTTTAATTACAGTCTTTAGTCTGTTTGGATTTGTCTCTACTAACTTCTAGACTTTGCTCACTCTTCTTTGCAGAACTGCTGAAGTTCGGTTAAATTTGATGGTGAGCGTTTGTGGACTGCAGCCTTCAAGTCATTCCACAGATTTTCAGTGGGGTTTAAGTCTGGGCTCTGACTATAGGCAATGCAGGGACATTCAGCTTTTTCTCCTTCAACCACTGTGTGCTCAGTTCTGCTGTGTGCTTTGGGTCATTGTCATGTTGGAAGGTAAA